TCTGACAGCAGAAAAAGGTCTGCAATGCCTCAACCTCAGACCAGACTCGGTTTGAAAAAAACAACAACCATATATATATATATTTCCAGATGGAGAAGACAGAACCTTAAATGGGACATGATAAAGTGACAATGCAGCTGTTTCACTGAAAACTGCAACACATGGGAAGGAAGAGCTTCTCATGTGTTGAGCTTGGGATAACAAGCCTTTACTCTTGTGTTTACAAGGTGAATAGATGTCATGAAAGATCCCAAGACAACCGCTGGTTACCAGAAACCACACACACCCTGCTGCAAGGGTACTATTGTCAGCTCTTACAACCCTAGCATGACAAAACTCCATGCCATGGCTCAACCACAGAATGTAAAGCATGCTCTAGTAAATAACCACAACCCAAGCCACATAAAATGTTCCCCTATTTATACTTTTTTACAGCATTTACAGAGCATGGAAAGGGTTTGTTTGGTTTAACCCATCACATTTGAATTGAACATTTTCCCTTTAAAGGCACAGGCAAAGCTGAAATAATCAAAAAACATTTGAGGGACTAAAAGTATTTATTATTTATTTATTCATTACAAAAAAGTACACAAACAACAAAAAAATGTTGTGCAATCTGAGCATTAAAATTAAAAACTTGAACATCTGAGAGGATGCATCTAGTTTCCACCACTGAATTTGACAGACTTTGTCAGACTGAGCGTGACAGAAGGAATCACAACAAATGTCGGCCGCACATAACAACACGATGAATGAGGGCACACACGCCTTTGCTCAAAAAAATGGACGTACAGTTAAAGGAGCATCCAAAGAAGCAGAGTCTTCCAGATGGAATGATGAGGATGGCTTTCCCATTCTGTGAAAAATCGTGTGGGCAAATAGATGATCAGTATCAGAAATGGTGGGATCATCTACAGCTAATCTCTGTATGTAAGAGACGAGGCTGTAAGCCAATAGCTGGAGACACTGCTGGAGTACTGCATGAGCTTGGGAACACTTCCCCAAACCATCGTCATCACTGCATCCACAAGTCAAAACTATGCCATGCAAAGCACACTCATACATGGCCAAGATCCACAAACTCTCTGCTTGTTTAAGGACTGAGGTAACATGAAAAACTGTTCAAACTGTTTCTGGGGTCTGAAAGCAAAATTTTCAATTCTGTTTGGAAATCATCCTCTGGGCTACAGATAAAAGGGATTATCCAGTTTGATCAGCATCAGTAATCGGGGGACATGAGTGCACATGGCATGACGCAGCAAACATTTCGATGTTGAATAACCACCTGGCTTTTCTTGCTGTTAACTCTTAGTTAGAAAAACAGTTCCAACTTGTTAAACTCGTTATCTGCTGGAGATAATTTTTCAGCATCACCTGGATGTCCTTGTTTGGCCTTCTCGCAAAGGAAGACATCATTTTTTATTGACTAGAACAAAATGAAAGAAAACATTCTCACTTCAGACGAGGGTGAGAACGCAGCGAACCTGAGCTGTTGACCTGTAGCTTAACTGAGTTAGCTGTTAGCTGCCGACGTGTCAAGTGTAAAACATTGTGGGGCAGAGGCGTTGCATCTGAGACCGCCCAGGTACGTTAAGTTCAACAGCAACAACAAATGAGACCAAATTTACATTTATAAAAAAATACTTAACAGTGCTGATTTATTTATTTAAAAAACCCCAAAAAAACAGCCTCCAGTTATACTAGTCCACGTATGTGGCGTGTCTGCCTGTCCACAACGGTTGATTGACCAAATTAGTGCAGTCTTTCACACAATGAAAACATCTGGCACACTGTGAAATTAAAAATTCAACAGAGCAGACGCAGCACGTTTAAAATGAAGTCTTCAGTTTCCAGATTCCTGCAGTGTTGCTTTAAACTCATTTTTGCTTATCGCAGCTGCATATTTAGAAATGTTTCCGCCAAACGTGAGACCATAAAAATATCTTAAATGTAAATAGGATGTAAATAAGCTCAACTTCAGCACTGAATACATGGTGTTTGTGCCATTTATACAAATTACATGCATGCATTGTATGTTATGAATTCTAATTTACAACATGAAGAGTACCCCAGCTTTTTTATTAATTAAGTATGTAAGTGAAGTAAACCAGCCCACTTGCATATTTATCTCACTCAGTTTTATTATCTTCACCAGCTGGCCAAGTTCACAGTCACACACTTCTACCTCTTTTCAGGTTACCATGCGATATTGTTGGACAAACGTCATCTTGGCTTTGGTATCCATGGCAACCCTAGCACTGTGCCAAAGTGGAGATGGGGACTGGGGTTCAGGCTTTGACATCTACTCTGTGATAATGGCCACCAATAACACATTGCAGGCTGTTGGTGATGAGCCTGCGAAGGTCAAAAACAGCCACGACTGGACCACATCGGCAGCATCCTCACCGTCACCTACACCTGTGCTCCACCACGAGCCCCAGCCGGACAGGTGCTCGGTCCACTTCAGCACCAACACTGCTTCAGCTCGAAGGCTGAAGGCCCAGAGAGAGGAGCTGGCCTACCTGCAGGCCATACAGCATGGGAACAAGGCAGTGATGGAAAACTTGGTGCAATTTGTAGGGAATGAGCTGGGAGATCAGCGCTATGAAGATGTGATCAAGGAAAATGTCATTGGCATTCAAGAGGACCAAAAGAGCTGGCATGAGGTGGTAGAAAAAGCAGAAGAGGATCTAAAAAAGCAGCTGGAGGGAGACGTACCGGACTCCTTCTCTGGGATCCACAAGTGAGTGCAGTAAATCAAATGTATTTGTGCCAAACGTCATAAAGTTAACAGCTGAAATGTAAAGATGACAGTTAAAAAGAAAAAGAAAAAAAACCTGCTGTTTGTTTCTGTTGTTAAGATTAATTAACTGTGGTAGCACATATACTGAAGATATTGTGGGGAAAGACGATGTAAAAAAGAAAAGATGTAGGTTGACTTAAGTCTATCACCAGGCAGTTGCTGGTTATTGAGATGTGAAATTCTGAATATTTTTCCTCTCTTAGATTTATGATTTATGTTAAATGGGCTTTGTTTGAGGTTTGGAATTTTTAATTGATAAATACAAGTGTTGGAAAAATTTGATAACCATTTTTCACCATTTCCATCAATCATAAATTAAAACACTACCCATGTAAACAAAAAGCAAAACTAGATTAAACTACATTAATCATTAATAATAAAATAGTAATTGTTTACCAAACTGAGACTCATTTTAGGTATCTGAAGCTGACGCACTGTGTAAAAAAACTATTTCTAATATAAAAGAGAAACAGACTAACAGGTGGGTTTTTTTGGAAGTACTTAAACACCCCGCAATTAGAAGAAATAAATCTCTGGATAATCAGCAGGTGACACAGGGAAAAATGCACTGAAATGAAAAAGATTGAGGACTAAATACACACAAGGGAACTATGGTAACAAGGCGAAGATGAACTCAATCAGACAATAACAAGGGCAGGAGAAGAACAAAGAACAAAAAATATCACATAGAGACCCGGTGGCACATAAGTGTTAGTTTCTTGAGCACATGTGATCCCCCGTTATATTAGCATGTCCTCGCATTTTCTTTTTCTTACCCTCTGCTGTTGTTTCTTCTTGTGTCCGGTGCTTTCTCCTTGTCATCACTCACTCGGCCGGCCACCTGGACTGTTGGTCCTTCGGAGCAGAATCAGAGAGGAGTCCTTGGCCTTTGAAGACATGCTTCGTGCTGCAGCAGACATCGCCAGCAGGCTGGAGAGCTCAGCACAGGCCCTGCACGCTTCATTCACCAAGCAAATGAAAGACATTGTGAAAATCCATCGCTGAGAAAGCATTGAAAAGTGTTTTGAAAAGTGTTTGCGCATCATCCTTGAACTTGTGAATGATGTTTGGCATTCCGTGAGGTCCCAAATTCAAGAAATATACCCTCTCGCCATTTTATAATTGTATTTTTATGTACATGTGCTGAGCAGTTCTGGGATGCAACAGTGTGTTAAGGTTAGACTTCACATCAACTGAAGCAGTCAACGAAGATGGATTGTTGACACCTCCCTTTCACTGAATATCTCCACGACGGATGACATACGATTTTCCATCCACGCATTATTCGTGGAATTTTTGTGAGGTCAAATATGGGAACAGCATGCAGTGCAGCTTTGAGCTAAGCTCCGTGTTTATGGATCAAAATAGATGGGCCTTCGGAGAACAAAACATAATGACTCTGTTACTCTTCTCCAGGGGAAGCTATGGGTTGGCCATCTGGTTCCAGGGTAAGGGTGGAGTCTGGGATATACTTATAATGACTATGTGGTAATAGAGATTTTGTTTCTGCAACAATAAGTGAGGGAGGGGACTGGAACAACTAATAAAGGGTTTGTTTTCTTAAGAGAAATATCCAGGGGGATAAGTTTCTATATAAATATTAAGACAGATCCTATGATTAGAGGGGGGAAAAGAGGATAAACTGTCTATGCATGATATGTTTGCACAGTTTCCCGGCTTAAGCAATTTATTTAAACAAGGTTTCTCTTTAATCCCAGTAGGACTTTCTGGAGGGGGATGCCTTTTAATTTTTTTTAAATAAAATATGTAGCATTATATTATTACGAGTTTAGAAAATAGATTTATGTTCAATCCTGTAAACGGCAAAATTTTACATAAATAAAGCACCTTGTTGTTTGATGTTTTTTACACTTACATTTTTTTTAACAAAAATATTCATTATGGTGTTTTCACAGCTCCCGTGCTCATCAGTAGTTTGGGGTACAAACTTCACTCACCCGGTCTGCCCTCTAGCTGTTTTCCAAATATATTGTTGTGCAGTGTTCAGCTTCACGTCACTCGTCACTCATTCTTTGGATCTTTCAAAGAATAATTACTGTATTAAAGTCGAGGCTCATAACTTTTTTAAATGCATTTTTAACTTGGTTTCTTGAATAGCTGGTCAGCATTTAAACACACGGGTTCTGTGTAGGTGTGTCTCTTAAACACACACACACACACGGAGAGAGGGAGAGAGCGAGAGAGCGAGTCGCTTTAGGTGCCAAATAAAGAGGCAAGTGCTCAGACGTGCCCTGCATCTCCTCCTGTTATTTCGGCAACCTTACATATTACACTTATTACACTGTCCAGCTGCCAGTCATGGAAAACTACTACTTTGAATTTTAAAACAGAACACACTCACAGGATTGGACGCCAAATTCTTGGCACCCTGCGTAACAGGCGCATTTGTTTGGATTCTCTCTACGCAGAAGAAAATCCGACTACTTTCCGTGAATTGATTTCCTGAAAACAGATTTATAGAGCTACTTTTATGAGCTGGTATGAGCAATTACAGCAAAGCTGGGACACACAGTGTTATAGTGCCGCTCCCTGATTCAGCACCCAGTGATGGATAGCGCTCATTGCGCGGAAACTGATGGCACGGTACTCGCTCTCCTCCGGTCCAAACAGCGCTGACAGTGAGCAGAGACGGAGACTTATCTATGCTGAGATCTAAAGTAAGTCAGTCAGAGCGCTGTCACTGTCATTCCCCGCCTACAGACTTGAAAGCGGTTATCGTGACAGTAGCTGTGATGTGGTCCTAACGTGCTTCTCAGCTGCGAAGATGACAGATGTTGCTCACACTTTTCCACATAGCGTTTCGACAGTGGACGGAAGCTGCTCCGTGCTTTCTTGTGAAGTTTTCTTTGCTGTCAAGAGGACGAAATGGGATCCAACCACCTGTTCTCCGCCGGGACGGCTTTTATTTGGGCGCTACTCTTGAGTCCGGCCGGTAAGTACTTTTACAACTATGTTTTCTAGTGGGCTAATGTTAATGACAGCAATAATAGCAGGTGTGTTTGAACCATGGAGGTTCTGAGAGATGAGCAACTGAGCAAGTGCAAAGAAGTAAGTCACAGACTGGAAAAATATATTCTAACCTTACTGTTCAGTTATGCTCGGCACTTTTCAAAATTAAAGGTGATCGATGGATCCAAACAGGGATAGTATTGATGTCATTGCTAGTATCGGTATTGGATCGATACTAGCGCAATACGTTCGATAGTTTGTTTCCTTCCTTTAAGTTTAGTGTGTAGCCCACTGAATTGTGTTAAATAAATTATTTATCTGTTTTTTATGGAAAAATATACCTCAAACATGCATTATAAAAAAGGAGAAAAAAGGCAGTTTATAAATAAATACCTTTCTATGTTAAAAGTATTTGTCAGTATCTGCAATATTAACCCAGTATTTGCTTGGTATCAGAAATTTGCAGTCTCACACATGACTACTTAAAAGGCTCACGGTCCTATTTTCACATTTAGCTGGATGTCTGTTTCATGCATTGGGAACTACCTCTTCATTTAACACGTTCACCTCCAGAGAAGCAGCTATTTAGCTTATGAGAAAAGAAGTTGTTGCTAGAAAGATAAATAGAAGAAATGTAAGAGATGAATGAAGGCATTTGCTTCTTTCTGTACAAAAGCAGGACAGCGGACAACATAACAGTGTGAAAAATGAGCCACACAAATTGGTGCAACAACTGATAGTCATGCTGCTACATTTTCAGAGGAAGTTAATCTTGTTTCAAAAAAGCTACAAAGGGACCAGAGAAGGAAACATCTTTAAAGGAAGAAACTGAGAGACGACTGGAGCAGTCGATGCCAGATTGTGCCTCAATTTGTTGCTTTTGTTGTGAAATGATTTAAGCTACAATTTCTTACGGTCTAGTGCATACTTCTGTGGAAACAGTGTTTGATTCATTCAAGATTGACACTGAAGCCCAGTTAGCTACTCTGGAAGTCCAGTTTTGACATGGATGTCAGAATTTGCAATCACAAATTATCAGTTGCAGTCACAACTTATGTGCAGACAAAAAGCATTCCCATACAGAGATCGAGGATAAAATGAGTTCTTGTTGAAAAGGGTTTCAAAGCACCAAATATACTCTGTCTCTGTATGCTTCAGTTATCAAATGTGTAGGTAGACTACATAATCATATGCTTATTGGTATGACATAGATAGATTTCAGCTTTCTGACTTAAACCCTGCAGTTTTTCACACACACACACAAAGAAAAGATCTGCAGCATTCTTTTAGTAAACTTTTTACTGTAATTATTTGACAGCCCAATTTCATGAAAAGCACCTCTGGCCAGAGAAGCTGCTGACTCGATGATCCAAACTGGTCAGTGTTTTAAACACCTTGCCAAGTGACTTGGCTAAGGTCCAAATATACTGGGCCCAGTGTGCCGGATGTTGAAGGTGTCACCTCATTTCAACTCTCCCCTGGCACGAGGTTTGATATGTGGTACCCAAGAGGCTTTTTTCCAGCGCCACATCTGGTCTTTCCCAGATGCACGGACAGATGAATACGCACTGCCCCGACTGTCAAGATAGCAGATAGGAATTCTCTAGTGCCTGCTTGTTTGCCAGATTGAAATTAGTTCATGATAACAAGACATGAGCCCAGGTGTACCTTAGGAAAATTGAAAGTGAATTCACATATTGATTACCACCTCTAATGTATATTTTCTACAAACTACTGCATCAACAAGAGAAGAAGGACCTTGCCAAATTTTGCATCCTTTGCAGCCTTTTGTTGGTAAAGCCAAACCAAACCAAGCCATTCAGTTAGCACAGGCAATAAATCTCACTGAAGCAGTTTTGCATGCTTTGCTTGGATTAGCTCTGTGCAACATGCAAGTCCATCAAGTGGTCATCGTCTAGTGGCCTGTCCTACAGTTACAGGTTGTAAATACATGGTAATGCTGTCAACAGAGCCACAACTCACCCATAGACAGATAGTGATGTGTCCTTGGCTAAGCAATCATGACTGCTGCCAGATGAAGGTGGTCCAAGGTTTCATTTGAAGGTCCCTTGATGGTAGCACACTTGAGTGGACCCTATTATAACCTATGCTAACAAACAGAGCTCCAGAAACATTGGTGTATTAGTGACATGTAGATGTAATCACATCTTAATTGAGTTTATTTTATTTTATTTTGATACAATTAATTTTTTTCTGCTTTGATTAATTGAACAATAAGGCAATATATCAGTAAACAAAAATGCCACATCATTAAATATTTTGACATTATTGAACACACACGTATTTTCTTTGTTACTGAATTCTAAATGAGAACCATACAAAAACCATCTAAAAGTTATAATCTGCCATTCTGTAAAGACTTTATAGTGGGTAGTTTAGCATGAACAAAACAATATATTTTTAAGCCGTTAGTTGGCATTACAATTGGACCGAATGAGTGCAGCTACATCGCAAATAATAAAGTGACAGTTTAAGAGGTGCATTGTGCCAATACCTAGGCAGGTAGATGTACAGTAATAGCAAATATAAAACACATTCAAGGTACTCAATACAAGTTAGATGCAAGATGCATCGGAAAGCCAGTATTATTGACCAATATTAGCTATTTGCAGAATTTGCAGATTTATTAGTATTGACATTTACACAGGCTGATAAGTTTAATTTTAATAAGTAGAGGTGAGAGAAGCAACTTCGAACTATATTGTGAGTGTTGATGTTGAATACTTTGTCTACCGGAGGGCGCTCTACAACTTCCCTGTCAGCAACACATGTTTGGCATGCCATAAACACAACAACCAGCTGATCCGAGCGCAGTCACACGAATCGCAAATGACTAAATAAACAACCACACATAATAAATATAAGGGAACTTTAACTGCACGGTGGTGCGGTGGTTAGCAATGTTGCCTCAAAGCAGAAAGGGCCTGAGTTCAAATCAACCAACTGGCCCTGATTAAAGGGGTTGTGTCTGTGCGGGTTCTCTCCAGTTTTGTCGCACAGTCCAAAGACATGAAATTAGTGTAGATTGATGATTCTAAATTACCCATAGGTGTGAATGTAAGTGAGACTAGTTGTCTGTCTGTCTCTTTGCATTAGACTGGGGACCTGTCCAGGATGTACCGTGCCTCTCGCACTATGACAGCTGGGATGGGCTCCAGCCACTGCTACCTTTCTAAAAGAAAGAAATTTGTGTTTTTCAAAAATAACCAAATATTGGTGTCGATATCAGTCTTAGGCTACGTTCACACTGCAGGCAAAAGCGCATAAAATCCGAGTTTTTTGACCCTATGCGACCCATATCCAATCATGGTATGACAGTGTGAACAGCACAAATCCGATATTTTCAAATCCGACCTGGGTCACTTTCGCATGTGGTACTGAATCCAATACATATCTGATGTTTTAGAAAGCGACTGCTGTTTGAATGGTCATGTCGCATTAAATCCGTCTTTTACGTCACTGACACAAGACAGACGCCAATTATCAGCGCCGGAGAAGACAAACGAGAAAGCATGGCGGCCATCGTTAAAGCACGGGCTCTCTTTTTTCTCAGTGTCATTTTTTCTCTAATTAATTTGTCAAAATTCTGTCGGTTACAACTGTGCAGAAATTGATAGACTGCTGCAACAACACCTACTAGCTCTGTAGCCGCCATTTTTACTTCCGTAAACAGAGCGCGTTGTGTGTGACGTCTTCTTTTGCGCATGCGGGCCGCTTTGAGGGCCGTGAACCGTTCACACTAGAGCGCGTTTGCTGTCACATTTTATTTGTAGTAGTGAACAACCAGACAAAAAAAATCGTGATTTGATCAAAAATCGGAATTGAGCATTAAGACCTGCAGTGTGTGTGAACGTAGCCTTAAATGCTTATTAATCATATTATCTACATAATAGTATATATATATATATATATATATATATTACTATATATGTCTAATCTCCCAGCATCAGTATGTGAAAAAAAAATTAGACAAATATACCCAACCGTTAGCCTCCACTCCAAATCAGAAGCATCAGTTAATTGTTTCATGCATCAGACGTAACACAGAGTGACAGACAGCTCAACAATAAACACCCTTCACTGGTGAGAAATTAGCTCACCTCCACTTAACAGTAGCGAGTAATGATGTGTGTAATTGACTCTGACTACACTGATGAAGGTGGAAGCAGTAATCCCCAAGGGACGGGATTCCTGTCTATTTCCATGCTTTTCATTCTGCAGAAACACAATACGGTGACTCAGTCCCAGCTTGTACACAAATCTGACTAGAGTGCATATTCAGAATCAATTTAATCAAGCCGCCTCTCACTGCGAGGCCTTACATACATAATAATAAGACTTTAGAGATTGTATAGCTGAAATGGTATTACTGTCGAGGGGAGGAGAGACGCTTCCTTTGTCTCCACCTTCTCAGCTTGAGAGATTCTAGCAGGCAGCCCTCAAGGGGAGCCGAGATCAAGAGATCAAAAGATTTGCTAAGATGTGAAAAGTCGATAAGACTTTACAAAGAAAAGTCTTAGATGTTTAGAGTAGGCTTCTGTGATGAAGCACGACATGTTCGCAGTTCTCTCTTGCTCCCAAAAGCAACCCAGATGCCAGCCAGATTTACTAGTATTTGTTAAGTGAAGATTAGGAGAGACACAGATGACAGAACATGGATGTGATCCCAACATATACCATTCAGCTTCCGCTTCTTTCATCCCGTTTCAGTCTTAGAATGCCATACCATTAAATATTCACCAATAATATTAATGCATTAAAAAAGTGCAAATGCATTTAGTGTCAAGATGCAGGCGAGGTCTTTATCACATACACCTGTAGTTTTAACAGCCCCATGTTAGCTTATTTAAATGTTAACAAACTCTATGATGCAGATCCAAGAGAGATGAATAAATATATTAACCAACAAGAGAATAGAAATATTACAAATTCCTAAATTACCCACTTCACTTATTGCATTTGTCTTCTATAAATGGCTAACTACACCAGTAATGTATCCACAGCCCTCTGTGACGAGAAGACCCACTCACATGCTGAAGATGACCTTTTCAAGACCCTGTTCGCTGGGTACAACAAGTGGTCGAGACCTGTGCCAAACATCTCCGACGTCGTCATTGTCAAGTTTGGACTCTCCATAGCCCAGCTTATTGATGTGGTGAGTGTTTGCCTTGCGTTTGCCACAAAGAGCTGGTGATGTGACATATGATGATGATCCAGGGCTCAAGTGCCAGTGTCCTGCAGGTTTTGGATCTCACCCTGATTAAACACATCTGAATCAAATGATTAGTTCATTACCAGGCCTCTGGAGAACTTCAAGACATGTTGAGGAGGTGGCCCTTTAAATCAGCTGTGTTGGATCAAGGACACATCTAAAACCAGCAGGACACCGGCATTCAAGGCCTGGAGTTGCCTACCCCTGCTCTAGTGTCATTCAGAAAAAATAAATGATTGTTCGATTCGATTCCATTCAATTAGATTTATACAGCACCAAATCGCAACAACAGTTGCCTCAAGGCGCTTTATATTGTAAGGTAGACCCTACAATAATACATACAGAGAAAAACCCAACAATCATGTGACCCCTATGAGCAAGCACTTTGGCGACAGTGGGAAGGAAAAACTCCCTTTTAACAGGAAGAAACCTCCAGCAGAACCAGGCTCAGGGAGGGGCGGCCAAAGACATGCTGTGGAAGAGAGAGTTAGAAATTAATAACAAGTATGATTCAGTGCAGAGAGGTCTATTAACACAGCGTTTGAGAAAGGTGACTGAAGAAGTAACACTCAGTGCATCATGGGAATCCCCCAGCAGCCTACGCCTATTGCAGCATAACTAAGGGAGGATTCAGGCTCAACTGATTCAGCCCTAACTATATGCTTTAGGAAAAAGGAAAGTTTGAAGCCTTATCTTAAAAGTAGAGATAGTGTCTGTCTCTCGAATCCAAACTGGAAGCTGGTTCCACAGAAGAGGGGCCTGAAAACTGAAGGCTCTGCCTCCCATCCTACTTTTAAATACTCTAGGAACAACAACAACAATGTTCAGATGTCTTCATCACCGAAACCCTCATGATCGGTGATGATAGGGTTATGATATTTCTGTGCATTGACTAAATACAGTGATGCCTGTACAGCATATACTCAAACTTTGGTTTCAAGGTCAGTATAGGCCTGTTCATGGGTACACTACATCCCACAGCTATGAAGGAAGCTGTGTATATGATTTCCATAAAGTCCTTAAAGTAGCAGAAAGTTATATTTGAGTTTTCCTTTGACAAAACACCAAGAAACACAGACATATTTCTCTGGTCTGAACCCCCAGTTGACAACTTTAACAATATTTCCATCATTCTCGCTCTCTATCTGTCTGTCTTTCAGGATGAAAAGAATCAAATGATGACAACCAACGTGTGGCTTAAACAGGTTAGGAAATCTAGTGTCAGTGTTGATTTATTATTAAGATTTTATTTTTTATTTTTTTATATTCATGAGGGGATTATGCTGACATAAAATGTTAGGAATGCAAAAAAGCATTTGCATTGTTGAAGTGAATGACTCATATGATGAATACAAATGGGGCCACGGCCCTCCAGACTGATTCGTGTTGTTTGTGTCTCGCAGGAGTGGAATGACTACAAGCTTCGCTGGAGACCGTCTGACTATGACAACGTGACATCCATAAGAGTGCCGTCAGAGCTCATATGGGTACCAGATATCGTCCTCTATAACAAGTGAGTCTGAGATAAAATGTAATGGTTACTGCATTTCTTTTCTTGATTATCTAATTAACTCTTTATTAAACACTCAGGCCTACAGTAAAGCTCAGTTGTGCAAATGAGCGTATGAGAGTAAAATAACTATAATTGTTCAAGAAACTAATATCTGACATTCAGTTAAACAGCTTTACTCTGATATTTGTTGCATTTTTTTTAGCAAACTCACTAAACTCATTAATCTTTTATTCGGATTAATATACTGTCAAACAATTGATTCTGAGTCTATTCAGTTCTGAACTGCATAACCAATCACAGTTATTTCTCTCTACCGTACTGAGACGCTGCTGAACACTTCAAGGTTTGCCAAAATGCTTCAGAGGATTGTAATGGCAGATTTAGGGCTGTCTAACAGCTATGCTCTTATTGTAGCATGACAAAGGAGTCCAAACTCACGCCTGTTGCCTTAACAGTATGTGTAAGAAGATGGCACCATCTAGTGGTCTGTGAAAACAATGGTTTGCTCCTCTTTCTCATGTTTCTTCCAGTCCTGATTGGGTGGCTGGTTTTATTTGTACCTTCTGAGATATGTGCGGTATAGTTTACACGCTGATGTAAACACAGCTCTTTATTATCTGTTTCATTTAGCAAAATGAAAAAGATACTCCATTTTAAATTTTGCACGTCTGTTAGTAAAAATTGGTGGAGTGCATTTCATTTCATCGAACTCAAGGCAGCCTTTACATGTCTATCGCTCCAGTGGGAAACTGATTGCAAAAACCACTTTTGAGAAACCTCTCCCGTCACCTAAATTCACCTCCTGGAGATTAAACCGAGCACGCTGATGATAGGTTTCTGCTCCAGCGCGCTCGTGTAATCACAGTCCGTATGTGAAATTAAAAGAGGTGAGACTGATTAAATGATAAGGACGTATGATTACATCTTCTGCTGAAGCTAGTGTTGCCATTAAAGTGGTGAATGGAGGGGAGATTATAGACAGTTTTTCACTACATAGTTTCCAAAATGAAAAAAAAAAAAGGAAATAAAATCTCAGGAAAGAAGAAGGGGAATAGAACTGATCACAGTGAAGGTTATGATTTCTTATCTGATGTAGCCTTCGCTCTAAGATGAGGTGTTTTGTGTGTTTCCATGACTTATATGACAAACTTCTCCTTCTGCAGTGCTGATGGCGAATTTGCTGTGACCCACATGACAAAAGCTCACCTATTCTACACGGGCAAAATTCGCTGGGTGCCTCCTGCTATTTACAAGAGCTCTTGCAGCATTGATGTCACCTTCTTCCCCTTCGATCAACAAAACTGTAAAATGAAATTTGGCTCCTGGACTTACGACAAAGCCAAAATTGACTTGGAGCAGATTGAAAATACTGTGGATCTCAGCAACTACTGGGAGAGCGGCGAATGGGCCATCATCAATGCCGTGGGAACGTATAATACAAAGAAATATGACTGCTGCCATGAGATTTACCCAGACATCACCTACTTCTTCATCATCCGACGTCTTCCCTTATTTTACACAATCAACCTCATCATCCCCTGTCTGCTTATCTCATGCCTCACGGTTTTGGTTTTCTATCTACCGTCAGACTGCGGTGAGAAGATCACCCTGTGTATCTCCGTGTTGTTATCCCTCACTGTCTTCCTGCTACTCATCACGGAGATCATACCATCCACATCCCTCGTTATCCCTCTCATCGGCGAGTATCTCCTCTTCACCATGATTTTTGTCACCCTGTCCATCGTTATCACTGTCTTTGTCCTCAACGTCCACCACCGCTCTCCCAGCACTCACAAGATGCCCCACTGGGTCCACTCTGTGTTCCTGGACTTGATTCCACGTTGGTTGTTCATGAGACGGCCCGCACCGGATGGCCGCCGTCGCAGGCTGCTGCTCCTTCAACAGGAAGCGGTGGCAGAGCGGCGCCAGCTCCGAATAGCCGGGTATAAATCGGGCAACTGTATTAGCACCTCAGCTAACTGGTTAAGAGATGGGACCACATTGGAAGACCCCGAGAGAAGCTGTTATGAGGACTTGGAGCTGGGAACACTGACATCCTATTTCTCCTTCCGTCCTCCTTCTCCCAGACCTCCAGGGTCAACTCCTCCACCACAACAAAAAACCCCACAGAACAGCCAGAGCCGACAAGAGGTGGTGGCAGGGGGGAACAGGCACTTAACTGGAACCAGAGGTAATTCCACTCCTCGGCCGGCTAAAGTTGACAATAAAGTGTCACAGTCAGCTTTCCTGCTTTCACCAAGTGTCATGCGTGCATTAGAAGGGGTGCACTACATTGCAGACCACCTGAGGGCTGAGGATGCTGACTTCAGTGTGAGTATCAAGGAAATAATGCATCTAATATAAAAGCAGAATGGCATTTTGTTCATTTGTATTACTGATGGTATTCCAATTTACATTTATCTCAGTTTTGATACAAAATCATACTCTGGGCATGTTGATTAGATAATACCTGTGCAAGGCGCAATCAAAATTCCTAATACTCTATATAAATTAAAAATCATACGCGAGTTAAATTTGGCTGCCATACACTTCAAGATTGTCTTCAAGCCACAGACGACTCTCAGTGTTCCTCCTATGTTTGAAATGCACCCTGGAAATTTTTGTCCTGACCGCCTGCTGTTCAGTGAGTGCTGAATATTGTTCGTGTGTAAAAAATAGGCCCTATCTTCCATCCATCCATCCATCCATCTTCATCCGCTTATCCGAGGTCGGGTCGCGGGGGTAGCAGCCTAAGCAAAGAGGTCCAGACCTCCCTCTCCCCAGCCACCTCCTCCAGCTTGTCCGGGGGAATACCAAGGCGTTCCCAGGCCAGCCGAGAGATATAATCTCTCCAGCGTGTCCTGGGTCTGCCCCGGGGCCTCCTCCCGGTGGGACATGCCTGGAACACCTCGCCCAGGAGGCGCCCAGGGGGCATCCTTGTCAGATGCCCGAACCACCTCAGCTGGCTCCTTTCGATGTGGAGCAGCAGCTGCTCTACTCTGAGCCCCTCCCGGATGGCCGAACTTCTCACCCTATCTCTAAGGGAGAGGCCAGCCACCCTTCGGAGGAAGCTCATTTCTGCCGCTTGTATCCGCGATCTCGTTCTTTCGGTCACTACCCACAGCTCGTGGCCATAGGTGAGGGTAGGGACGTAGATCGACCGGTAAATTGAGAGCTTCGCTTTTACACTCAGCTCCCTCTTCACCACGACGGACCGGTGCAGCGTCTGCATTACTGCAGCTGCAGCCCCAATCCGTCTGTCGATCTCCGGCTCCCTTCTCCCATCACTCGCGAACAAGACCCCGAGATACTTGAACTCCTCCACTTGGGGCAGGAACTCATCCCCGACCTGGAGTGGGCACTCCACCCTTTTCCGGCTGAGAACCATGGCCTCAGATTTGGAGGTGCTGATCCTCATTCCCGCTGCTCACACTCGGCTGCGAACCGTCCAGTGCGAGCTGGAGGCCCTCACCCGATGAAGCCAACAGAACCACATCATCCGCAAAAATCAGAGATGAGATTCTGAGGCCACCAAAGCGAAAGCCCTCCGCCACTTGGCTGCGCCTAGAAATCCTGTCCATAAAAATTATGAACAGAACCGGAGACAAAGGGCAGCCCTGGCGGAGCCCATCACCCACCGGGAACGAGTCCGACTTATTGCCGGCAATGCGAACCAAGCTCTTGCAACGGTTGTATAGGGATCGAATGGCCCGTAGCAATGGGCCAGACACCCCATACTCCCGCAACACCTCCCACAGGACACCCCGAGGGACACGGTCGAATGCCTTCTCCAGAGTCCACAAAACACATGTAGACTGGTTGGGCAAACTCCCATGCACCCTCAAGTATCCTCGAGAGGATAAAGAGCTGGTCCAGTGTTCCGCGACCAGGACGAAAACCGCATTGTTCCTCCTGTATCCGAGGTTCGACTAGCGGACGAACTCTCCTTTCCAGCACCCTGGCATAGACTTTCCCAGGGAGGCTGAGGAGTGTGATCCCCCTGTAGTTGGAACACACCCTCCGGTCCCCCTTCTTAAAGATGGGGACCACCACCCCGGTCTGCCAGTCCACAGGACTGCCCCTGATCTCCACGCAACATTGCAGAGCGTGTCAACCAAGACAGCCCTACAACGTCCAGCGCCTTCAGGAACTCGGGGCGGACCTCATCAACACCAGGGGCTCTGCCACCAAGGAGTTGTTTAACTGCCTCAGTGACCTCGCCCCCGGAAATTGGCGGGTCATACCCCTCATCCCCAGACTCTGCTTCCTCCTCGGAAGACGTGTCAGTGGGATTAAGGAGGTCCTCGAAGTATTCCTTCCACCGCCCGACAATTTTCTCAGTCGACGTCAACAGCGCTCCGCCAGCACTATACACAGCGCAGGTAGAGCACCGCTTTCCCCTCCTGAGACGCCTGACGGTTTGCCAGAATCTCTTCGAGGCAGTCCGAAAGTCTTTTTCCATGGCCTCTCCGAACTCCTCCCACACCCGAGTTTTTGCTTCAGCCACTGCCCGAGCCGCATTCCGCTTGGCCTGTCGATACCTGTCGGCTGCCTCCGGAGTCCCACAGGCTAACCAAGCCCGATAGGCACTCCTTCTTCAGCCTGGTGGCTCCCTTCACCTCTGGTGTCCACCATTTGGTTCGGGGATTACCACCACGGCAGGCACCAACCACCTTGCTGGCCGCAGCTCAATGCAGCAGCTTCGGAATGGACGTGAACATGGTCCATTCGGACTCAATGTCCCCAGTCTCCCTCGGAATGCTGTTGAAGCTCTGCCGGAGGTGTGCGTTGAAGATCTCGCGGACTGGGGCCTCTGCTAGACGTTCCCAGCACACCCTCACTACGCGTTTAGGTGCACCAGGTCTGTCCAGCGTCCTCCCCCGCCACCTGATCCAACTCACCACCAGGTGGTGATCAGTTGACAGCTCAGCCCCTCTCTTTACCCGAGTGTCCAGAACATATGGTCGCAGGTCTGGTGATACGATTACAAAATCGATCATCGACCTCGGCCTAGAGCTCCTGGTGCCACGTGCACTTATGGACACTCTTATGTTCGAACAGGGTGTTCGTTATGGCCAAACTGTGATTAGCACAGAAGTCCAATAACAAAGCACCGCTCGGGTTCAGATCAGGGAGGCCGTTCCTCCCAATCACGCCCCTCCAGGTCTCGCTGTCGTTACCCACGTGAGCATTGAAGTCTCCCAGCAGGACAACAGAGTCTCCAGGTGGAGCACCTTCCAGCACCCCCCCCAGGGACTCTAAGAAGGCTGGGTACTCCGAACTGCCACCCGGCGCATAAGCGCAGATGACAGTCACCTCGACAGCAAGGGCCGCGAGCTGCCGTCAGCTTTCGACTTTGTCGAATTCACTCGCTCGCTCTTTGTCAACTGATCCTTTCCCCTATCTTGAATTTCATTTTAGGAAAGAGAAAGAAGTTGCATGGAACTGAGTTTAGTAAGCAGGGTGGTTAGTGAGCAGTGTTTGGGCATGGCCTGTCGATGGTACATGCAACAATTCACAATCCTGTGAGTGTTGAAAAATGGCAAACCAGGATTTAGAGTGCACCCGTGACCTTATGGACTTTATGGCCATCCTTCAGGATTCTTTCACTGAACAATGCTGCTTAGTTTCCGGGCCATAGCTGGAGACCCAGCTCTTAATATCAGTGATAGTCCTTTGCATGTTTGTTAAATTGGTTTGATATAGATGTTTCCATTTGCTCTGAAGTTCACTTTTTACATAAATAAATGCATTTATATAAATACGTAACTGTACATAGTTCTATTTCAAACGCAATTTCTTTTAATACTAAGGCCTGCAATACCTTCACAGCCCACAGGGGGACCCATCCTACACTTTTGGAGTCACTGCAGTAGAGCCTGTAGCTGAAGATAAAACTGAATGACTCACAAACAAGCAGCTACTGAAGGTGGCTGCAGTATTTATTTTATTTATTAACCTTTATTTAACCAGGAAGATCCCATTGAGATTAAAAACCTCTTTTTCAAGGGAGACCTGGCCAAGATAGGCAGCAGCAGATGTCTCACAGTTACAGAAATTACTCAAACACAGGCAGCAACAACACACATGCAACAATAAGTGAAAGAATACAAATAAAATAAAATAAAATTCAATAAAATTCAAATAAAAATAAAAAAGTCAGTTAAAATGACAATCAATCTAATTGAAACAGTTGCATGTTATGGACTTGGCCTCAAGGATTCATAGTTTAGATTTAAAAACACTTAATGAAATGAATTCAGTCATTTTCCATTCCTTCTGCAGTTTGTTCCAAGCCGAGGGTGCTAAATGGACAAAAGCTCTTTTACCAAGTTCAGTTCGGGCAAATGGAACAGAAAGCAACAAGTAGCCATGCGGACGAAGAGAATACCGACCAGCATGTTTCATTAGAAGCAGGGAACATAGATAAGAAGGCAGCAACCCAAGTATCGCCTTATATATAAAACTGTATAAATGAGAGTTCCTCCAACTTACCAAAGCAGGCCATCCTACCTGAGAGTATAACTCACAGTGGTGAGTCAGAAATTTACGGTTAGTGATGAACCTCAGAGAAGCATGATACACAGAATCAACCATTCGAAGACATTGAGCAGAAGCATTCATATATAGAATATCACCATAATCCAGCACAGGCAAGAATGTTGCAGCAACAAGCCGCTTCTTTGTATTAAAAGAGAAACACAACTTATTTTGAAAATAAAATCTCAGTTTTAACTTCAGGTTTTTCACAAGATTCAGTAGAGGCCTAACAGAGAGTCTCCAGAAGAGAATCATCCAAGAATGAAAATAATCTTTATATTTTTAATTATGAGTTTGTCCATTTATTTTTGAGCCACTGCAACTGGGGTACTGTGAATAAAAATGTAGATAATTCCTAAAAGGTTAGGGCAATACTTTTGTAAAACCCCATAAGTTAAAGTGTGCACCTTGATCTCATCTTGATTCTTTGATTTAAAATCCACTGAGATGGTTTGCAAAAGCAAAGCTGCATTTGTGTCGTCCGACCTAACTGTATACTGATACCCAGAACATGTAAAAAAAAAAAAATCTTAAGCTCTCAGTTTATCATGACACCTGACAATAAGAACCAAAATAAGCAGTATATACTGAAGTTTGATAACTCAGTCTTTTAGTGTCTCAGTCCGTAGTCTCTCAGTAAGACTTTGTCCTGCCAAAACAACTTGAACATCTTCCCTTTGGTTGTTAAAAAATATTATTCAGATTTTTATCAATATTGCGCCTCTTAGTGCATTTGAAAAACCAGACGGGAGGGCAGAAAGCCTGCAGAGTATTCATGGACAAAATAGCAAGCATAAGAAATTTAGCATACTCTTTCTTATCCTTAAAACCTATCCCAGCTAGTATAGTGCAAGAGGCGGGGCACACCTTGGATATGTCACCATCTGACACAGGGATAAGATTGCACTTCTGGGCAAATTTGAATAATAGAGTGAACATAATCCCACTTACTGCATATCTTTGGACTGTGGGAGGCAACTGGAGTACTGGGAGAGAACCCACACAAACACAGCAGAGCATGCAAACTCCACACAGAAGGCCCTCAGCCTCAATCAGATTCAGAATCAGAATACTTTATTGATCCCTAGGGGAAATTATTATTTCAAACTCAGGATCTTCTTGCTGTGAGGCACCATTTTGCCCTAGAAAAGTAACTTTTAAATAAAAAGAAAAATACAACTTTTCTTTTTATTGTCATATATAGGAAGTTACTGAAGAGGTATAAAAACTGGCTTTGGCAGCTGAGTGACTGAAGAGAGCTTTTCTGGAGACAGATATTAAACTTCAAGGGCAGATACATGGAGCAGTAATGCATGGAGCTAAATCCCATTATATGCCTAACATCACACTGAAATTACTGTTGGGAGCAGCTAAGAAAGAACTGTTTAAAAGTTTGATTGGTTACAGACAGGTTGTAGCAAATCGCATTGACTGAAGAAAATAGAAGGAACAGGTCAGCAAAAGTGTGCAGAAATGTGCATGAATATATGACATAGCTTGTGTGATGAGTAGTTTTTCTTATGAACCATATTTTTCATAGCAAACAATACCACCCATGATGTGAATTATTATTTAAATTCATGATATTATTTCTGTTCTTGTTCTCCCCCCCTTCTCTGTTACTTCTTTCTGCACAGGTGAAAGAGGACTGGAAGTATGTTGCTATGGTGATTGACCGTATCTTCCTGTGGATGTTCATTATTGTCTGCCTGCTTGGGACAATTGGTCTGTTCTTGCCACCGTGGCTAGCCGGCATGATTTAAGGCTTCTGGGAAAGGGTTGAATTCACAGTCACCTCCTCTTGAAAGATACTTTAAAGTGTAGCTGAACTCTTCTTCAAGTCGGGTAATCTGACTCAACTTTGTGTAACTCGGTGCAACCCAGGTGTCCTCAAAAGGCCGTTGTGCTCTTTACACGTCACCAAATATAACTTATGAATAGTGGAGACAACTCTGCTATTTTCAGATTCTTATTCCCAGTTGGATAAAAATCAACTACAATCTACATTTTTAAGGGAAGATCAGACTCAGTAACCTACTGTTAGCTATAAAGTCTTGGCTCAAGTTTCATCTCAGATGCACTTTGTCAGCCTCAGGTTTACTCCTTCAGCATCATCTGTAACATTTCTCAGGTTGTTTTTGACCTGAATGCAAACATTTGCATGTTAACATTCACTAAAGTTAACATGGCTGTTGAAAACTGTGCTAATGTTGGTATTTTAATGTGCAAATGTTAATCACTTTTTAGCATGTTAGCATAACATGCTAGTTAAATATATAGTGCCAACGGCTGTCTTAGTAGGGTGTCACAGTGATCATATTTTTCTTTCCTATAGTTTCAGGGATTGCAGCTTAAAACTCAACAACTTAATAACATTGCATTCACTGATAGCAGGGGGATCAGTGAAAGCTGTTTGTCATCTTACTGTCTTAGCAGAAGTCAAACTCTGAATCAAACTCAGTTTATCATCCCAATGTAGCTTGTTGTAAAAGGCTCAAGGATGGAGATTAAAACATTAAGAAAACAAGCTTGTTTTAAATTCGTCTTATTTTCATGCTCTTTCCTTCATGGTTATCTGTCTGTCTTTTTGTCTGACCATTGATATGTCCAGAAAATGCATCAGCAAACATTAGCAATACAAGAGTGTGGACTGCTAAACCACATGTACAAATTCACCTTCCTGACCTTAACGCCACTGAAGGCTGTCACCTGTAAACTAAGTACTAGAGCCTATTCTACATTTGAGTTGTATTTTAACAATATTTGTCATGAATCTGTTCTCTTTGATTCTAAGCAAAGTTTTCTTTCACCACATATTCTGGATGGTGGTGAATAATCCTTCAAGAAATGGGCATTCAAATGCGATATACTCCTCAGTGCATCCCTAGTCTGATTTTAGCAGGGGTAACTGGACTGGCTGCTCCAAAGGGGATCTTGGACAAATGACTAAATATAATCATTTTCCATTTAATTTGCCACCATTGGTCAGTGGTGATGCTCAAAACTGCTTCATGAAGTTTTGAATTCATTTGCTACTTTTTAAGGTTCCAGTCATGAACTGAAAAATGAAGAGCTTAGTCTGCATTGCAAGATTTATTATCATCTACTGGAGCCAACAAATGCATGTAATTTTATCACAATCCGTTCAAAGTGCCATGATACTGGTAAACCAGTGAACGTTTAAAAAATAGGGAGAATTAAATATGTAAACAATACCATCTGGGTTGCTTTTTATCAGATTAAAAGTTGTTGATGACACTGTTCTCTTTGTGTATGGTGGGATGAACACCCATTATTATAGACTATGTTGGATACACGTTGGGGTGATTTGGTTTAGACAAAAAATGCATCAGCACAGGTTTTTTCCTTCTGGCGATGCTGCAACAATTGTAGTATTTTTGATTGAGCGTACTATACAATAAAAACCCATGAAACAAATTTGAAAATTTGTCTGCACGCTGTTTACTGACCTTTGAAAAAAAACAAAAACAATTTCTTATACAGTATTTTTTGTATTCTTTTATAAAAGAACTGACTCTGAAACTACACTTAATGATCATCAGTAAAGACTTGAAATATATGTAAATGTTCCTATCTCCTTGTGCTTTAAGATGACCTCATTATGTAGATAATTATACAGTGGTATGTAGAAGTTTACATACAGTCATCATGGGCATGAATTTCAAGGTAATGCTGGCTTCTAATGATTTTTTTTTTAAATTGTTCTTCTTCCGGGATGGGTGGGGGGTTATACAGCATACATCTTTCATGACTTTAAAAAACAAGAACTGGGTGCAGATCTTTGAATTTATTTCATGTTTTCTCTAATCCACATAGTCAAAAATATACATACAGGTTTAAATATATATGCACTTCCACTAATAATTGGTGAAATGTCCCTTAGAGAGTTGCACCTCAGACACTTTTGATAGCCATCAACAAGTTTCTGGCATAATTGTGACTGAATACTTGAACACTCTTCTTTGCAGAACCGACAGAAGCCATTTGAATTGGTTGGTTTCCTTGCATAGACGTGGCTTCTAAGCATAATCCACAAATTTTCAGTTGATGAGGTTGGGGCTTTGGGAAAGCTATTCCAGAAGCTCAGTGTTAGCCTGCATTACCTATTCCACAACCTTTGTCTTGCTGAAACACTCAACTGTGTCCAAGTTTAACCGTCTAGCGCAGTGGTTCTAAACTTTGTTGGAGGTACCGAACCCCACCAGTTTCATATGCGCATTCACTGAACCCTCTTTAGTGAAAAATAAAATGTCAAGACATAGATATGTTTTTTACTGGTGCACAAAATAAGCCATGCATGTCATGGTGGAGGCTCTGCCGAACCCCTGAGACTGACTCACCGAACCCCTAGGGTTCGATCGAACCCAGGTTAAGAACCACTGGTCTAGCGGATTAATGAATTTTGAGGTAGTCCCCCTTCATTAGGCTATCCATTTTGTGCAACACACCAGTACCACTGGCAACAAAACAGTGTTGATGCAGTGTTGTTAGGTTTGAAAAGCCTCACCTTGATGCCTCCAAAAATACCTCTTGCTTTTGTGGCCGAATAGTTTAATCTTTGTCTTGAAATATATCTGTTGATTCTTCTTTGGTTGGCAACCTCATTCTGTGGCGATGTAAAACTGGACAGTGACGCTTCTCGAATGCTGGTAGGTGCTTTGAACTTTCACCTTTCTGCTTTAATACCTGGCCCTCCCACACTTCATCCCCAGACAGCTATGCGCCTGAGACCCTGTCTACAATTCTGGGTAAAATTCTCTTCGTCTCACTTATAAATGGAAGTTGGTAAGTCCTGCTGTCCACTACAAAGGACTGGGAATGAAAGTTCTGTTTTGAAAGTGTTAAAATTATGAAATCCAACTAAATCAAAGAATTATATGTGTGTGTATATATCGTATCATTTAATCTCCCTTAAACAAATCTGGAGCTGCAATGCCCATCATTTTGAAAAGAAAGTCCATGCGCTCTGTTAACCCAACCCCGACATATAGAAATCCCAGTATGTCCTCTTGACACTACAGTATGACTCAGATGCATAAATTGTGGTTGATGCAGAGGTCTCAGACTCATGTCTCTAACAGAGGACAACAATGAATTGCTGGGTCTTTGTGAGGATAATACTGTGCTCTTTAGTTCATTGGTTTAGTGTGAGTCATGCCACTTAAATGGCCAACTAACCTTTTAATATGGTCATTTTTATCTCATCCAGCCAAGGCACACATCCACCCCTCCCTCTACAGTTCACTAGAATCACTCATCCTTCTAGAGTATGGCTCAGAATTTGCAGTAATTTGATCACCTAATGACTCTTCAGCCAAACTGTGCTTAAGCTCCACGTCGTGTTTGTCATTTTAAAGGCAGTTTTCAGCATTCACAAAATTCGCTACTTATCCTACAATCTTGGTTGGATTTAAGTGAAACCAGGTCGATCTGTCGTGGATATGATTTTTGGGAGCTTCCTTCACTGGTCGGTGGATTTTAATTCCCATGACTTTGTGCGATACAGCCAACCAAAGACGACAACAAAACGCCATTGATGCTATATTTACATTTCACTACTGACAAAAGTAAACTGTTTACATGTGTTTTCTTTTTTGCATGAAACATTTCCCATGCAACACATTTTATATTTACAAATACAACTTTCAAAGCAAATATCTGAGTCAACACTTCACCAATCACACACAGGTACAGTTATCATTTAAAATTTAGCATAACTGACATCCTAAACATTATGCTAGGGGACCGCAAAAGGAAAATGACACATTTCTGTATTATTGCATTACCTAAAAATACACATGCATCCATATGTAGCATCACATTTAAACTAAACTCTCATTAACGTGACAGTGGCTATCCAAAGTACCGGCGATGCTGCAGGATTCATTTCACTGATTGATCGATGTGATCCAAATAAAAATGCATGCTTTACAATGCACAAATGTTATTTTTGACTTTCACATATTAAGAAAAAAAAGAAGTCCCTATTTAGATTGATGTGAAACTGAAAAAAAAAAAAAATCTAATGTCTTTTAAGGGGGAGCAGGCTTTGCTAAATTGGCCCTGACTCTTGCTTGATCCACAGCATCCAACATGTTCTTGCTGTCCATAGCCAGAGTGTGTGCGGCAGCCAGCATCTGTTTCTTACACTCCTCCTTTAGAGAGGTTATGGCATTCTGCTGAGCCAACCGCATTTTGCTGATCAGCTCCCCCATGTCATGGTTCAGCAGCTTCTGGGTGCCTTCGATCTGCGATATTACAGAAGACCAATGGATCAGTTGTTTAGATTGGCGCTTTGATGACTGAGTTTTACGTTTTGCCAGCTCTTCGGCTGAGGAAATCTGGCGTTGCGTCAGTACTTTTGTGATGCAAAAATATGGATTCTGGGTGTCCCCCTCCAAAAAATGTAAACTTTAAAGGAAAGTGTATCATATCTGATGAGTTTTTGTGACTTCTACATCAGTGCGATTTTTTTAAAGTAAAAAGTTTCAAGAAATAAACTGAAAAAAATGTTTTGTAGCAAATATTATATAAATCAAAATGCATATATTTAAAATCATATTTAATGTTCTTTGTTATGTCAGGAGGTTCACCGAACACTATTTTTAAAAAGAAAATTGAATTTTCTGGCAATTTTTTCATGGTTTGGGATTTAAAGGGATAAAATAGTTGTATAGTTTTTGCTTTGTTTGTGTTTAAAGGGATAAAAATGCACAGAAAGGAAATGAAATAATAAAATAATGCTGTCATACTGTACCTCAGTCCTCACAGACCCGTGTAAGGTGGGCAGTATCTCATCCACACTGCTAATTAAATCTCTTAATGCCATCCCAACAGACTGTGGGCAGAAATCAATACAGAAATGACTCAGGAGCTTTGTCTTTGCATTTCAAAATGTGACATTAAACCAGCAACAAACTGTAACACTGAAGTGCAAAGCAGATCATTTGTCTCAGTGTACCTTGATATGGGTAATGCATTGCTCTGGCTGCAGCCCAGCGATGTCATTCTTGAGCTGGACAACTACTTTGACCAAGTCCATTACACAGTGATATACTTTGTCATCTGTGCGGTCAAGCTCAGCTGTGGGCGCAGGCTGAAAAAGGAGTAAATAGGTTTTAAGAACTGAAATACTAAATAACATCACAAGACACTTACTTAGATAAAACAGTGGCATCGATGCCCGTTCAAAAAAAAAGGACAAATTATGAATAATTTTTCATCCAAAAATCAAAGCTATTAAATTAAATGATGTTTTTCTATGGCCTAAAAATAATTTTAAGAAAACTAAACCTGCTTACCTTTGCTGTGAGTCGTGGCGGCTTCTCAGGCACTGCTGTATGGCAGAAAGATGAAAAATATGACAGATGAGGAGAAATAGCAGATCAAATACATAAGGAGCGAAGGAACATCTTTAGATCATTTTAGATGTCAATCTGTGAATTGCTTTGAGTGCTTACCAATCTCGATGTTAGCCGGCTAAAAGAACAAAAGAAGGATCTCATGAGGACGAGATGAGGAATTTTTACAATTCTACACTTTCTAATCAACAGTTCGCATTATGTATTGACAACAACGCACAAAAGTAATCATAATAATTGATGCTGCTGATAGTTATATGAGACCAATCAGCTGGTTAGTTTAAGCAGAGAAAAGCGCTTAAAAACCCAGTATTAGGTTTATGCCCCTGCTGCCCTAAATTAACAGTATTGGTAATTACCAAAATCATTTTTTGTGTTCTGTATTGATTATTACACAAGTGTGAACAAGGTGTTTAATCAAATTGATATTTTTAATGCTAAAATGAAATGATTCTCGTTATCCATTAATTTTTAAATGTACTGTTTCATAAAAAGCAGGGAGGTGCTCGTTTCTAAAGGGACATTATTATTCTTTGATTAAGATGTCAGTTATTCATGAACAGGAAAATTCATTTTAGTGGTTGAATGTTATGTCTAATTAATTTGACTCCTCAGGGAAGTCCAGTATGCTGCCTCAAACTTGCACATAGAAGGTCACTTTCAGCTTTAACAAGTTTTTGACAGATTTCTAAAATATTTGCATGTTTTCTTTATGACAGGTCATCTAATTAATTTGTTAAACACTGCACATCATCTAGACTTGATAAATTAGCCTTTTAATACCTTTTTAAACTTTAAATGCTTAATTAAAGTGACAATACTCTTAAATAACACACTTCCTGTCATAAATGTATATTTCAAATTAAGAAAAAGGGGAAAGGCTTTGCAGGATATATCATGTGGATGCCTCATCAAAGAAAATAACAGTCAAATGACACAAACATACATTATTTTCTAGGGTTATAATAACACTTTATATATAAATATTTTATTAATATTAAATATATAATAATTAAAAATGTAATAACGTATATCATGTGTTTATTTTGTGCGGCTCTGGACCTTTATAGTAGTTTTGGTGATACAAATATGTAGTAAAGCTTTAGTTGTAGTATAGTAGTTTAGTACGGTGGCTCTGTGAGGCCAAATGGACTGCAAAACACCAGCAATAAGAAAAACGCTGCAAAAGCACACAAAACACAACGGAAATAGGAAAAAAGAAAACAGAAATAGAAAACACGAAAACATAAATAGGCAAAAACTGATTTCCAAACGCACAAGGGAAGGTTTTCTAGGGAGACAATAACGCGACGGACCAGTTGCAGGAACCAAACTATGCTAAGATTTGCGCTGGGAGACTTAAAAGAAGTGGAGGATCTATCGCAAAGAAAAGGTGAGCGGTAAGTGTGTTAGCCTAATTATTAGCCTAAAAATCCACACATTAATCATGAGATTAAAACACACTAGCATATTTTGGTTTCTGCAACTGGTCTGTTGGGTTATTGTCTCCCCAGAAATACTTCCCTTGTGCTTTTGGAAATCTGTTTTTTCGTTTCCGTTTTTCCTATTTCCGTGGGTGTTTTATGTGCTTTTGCAGCACTTTTCTTATTGCTGGTGTTTTCTTACAGTCCGTTTGGCCTCACAGGGCCACCGTACATCAGACAGTGGCATGATAGATAGAAACTTATGCACCTGAAGTCTATTTAATAAAATATCTAATAAAAGATTTAAACTAAGTTGACTAATAGTGGTCTATACTGATCCCTGCAGGAAGTGTGACCTATGACGAAGCTCATTTTTCAGTGATCACAAACAGTCACAACTGGACTGACAACAATGTAAAAAAACAAAACAAAAAAAAAACATTTACTTTGTTTGTATTTTAGGTATCTGAAAAAAAATTATGTCTCCATTGTAACTAAATTGATTCACTAAACTGCCTGTAATTAAAATTACACTCTGTACAGGAGCACACCTACCTCTGGATTGGCAGTATCTTCTAGTCCCATGGGGTCCTGCAAAGAAACAGGCAGGTTCATTTTATACAACAGAGATAAAGACCCTCTCTTTGGAACTGTTATCAGGGGCACATTCAAATTAAGACTAGTGGGGCTTTTTGGATGGACAAGTAGGTTGATATTATTTAATGGTGCCTCGTTCCATGTAGCCTTCACAGCTACACTGCATTCGGACCCAGAGGAGGGCAGAGACACATAGAGGGGTTTGACAAAAGTAAAGGATGCTCTGTTCCCCACCAGCAGTCTCTCCTCCTTTTTCAGCCACTTTTTATCCTCCATCATCTGCTCTTTCTGCTTGCGGAGCGTTTCATGTATCTGGTGTTTCTCCCTCTGCCACAGGAGCTGGGCGTCTTCCCCAGTGTTCCGTTCCACTCTGAAAAACTCGTTCTCCTACAAGTACAACGATGGAGAAGTGTAATTACAATGTTACTAAAACAATCCTCGTTCGACACAGTATAATACAGTGCTTTAGTAGGTTGTGCAGCTAAACCTTTAAAGGAAGTGCTTAGTGTCTCTTACCCCCATGCTGCGGCGCCGGGGCGACTTGGCAGGTAGTGCGAGAGTGTTGCTGGAGTCGACAGGAGACTGATAGTCACATGGGCTGGCTAGGTCAGGTGAGCTGGCACACAGAGCCTCATTGAGCTGCACAGATACAAACAGACACACACTTATATATGGAAAAAAATTAAAGCTACCTCAAAGGATGTGTCTAGAGGTTGCTTAAAAGTACCTGAATGTGCAGACCAATACTGAGTGTGTTCCCAAACCGGGCTGGTTTCATTCTTGAAGGCTTCAGGAAATGTAAAAGATTATAAAAATGCAATTTGTTACATCGAAATTTTAAGACTGAGCAGTAGGTAAACTTAAAAATAATTTATACCTTAGGCGGGGGGTCAATGTTGAACTTGGACTCGAAAAATTTGGTGGAACGCACTCTGTCTCTCTCTCTCTCCGCTTCCTGCTCCTTCTCCATCTTGTGGACATCACTGTTAAAGATAATGTTTTTAAGGGCTGTGTAAAAATCCTTTGCAGTCAGTGCCTGAAGTTTAGAACCCATGGACATCAGAAAATGCTGTTTAACCTACGTTGAGATGCTATGTATTCACTTTTATCTCCAGTAACTGAAAATATGCTCTTTTGACTGACTTGGCCACAGACAAAATATATCCAATCTTTTTGTTTTGCGAAATTCTTGGGTTGCTTTTGCAGTATGCTGTTAAGTCAAATTGTTGAATGTTGTCATTGTGTTTCTTAAATTTGTAAAGTCTTAGTTCAAGCAGTAGGATCAAAG